GAGCTGATGACAGGTAAAGCACTGTCAGGAGAACTTGCGTTGGATTCTGCATTACTAGCTTCTGAGAGTTCCAAGGTCTTCTCCAAGAGCCTGCGTCTGGACGTTTTCTTTCTACGCAAGCCTGGACTCTCAACAGAGGCTTCTGGTTTGCCTTTGGTCACTGTGGTAGAATTCACAGGAAACTTCTTGGGACCATCAGGAACAAGGGTGTCATCCACTTTACTCAACTTGGTCACTGTGGCTGTGCTAAAAGGTAATGCCTTGAGCCTAAACGCATCATGATTTGATTCAACGCCTATGACTTTGTTGGGTTTCACACAGAAAGTCAACCTTGGGTGAGCGACTTCAACTGGTGGTGAAATGACTGCGGTCACTTTAAATGATATTTCTGGATCAGGTTTTTCAGACACAAGAGAAACAGAAAAATCAAAGCTTGAGCAAGCATTAGGCAGACTCACTGCATGCGACAGATCTGATCCTATAACATCCAGAGCGCCTTTTACAGACAAAGGCGGTTTCTCTGGCTCTCGACTTTGATCTTGTGCAAATTGTCCAATCATGGGAAGTGGACTCTGAAAGCACAAAGGATTTCCAAACCTCTCTGGGGTGCTGGCAGGAGAGAGTGTTTTATTCAAAACCCTTGTGATTTCTTCGCACTCTGCTTTACGAGAAAAAGTCATATCCTTGTTACCAGGTGCATCCAAAAATCTCTCTGCTGGTACTAAGACGACCACTGGTGAGTTCTTTTGCAAATGCACATCATCAAACTTTTCCGTCACAAAAACAGGCTTTGACATCTCAGGAGTGGAGGATGGTGCATTTGTCCTAATAGCATTGGACCCATAGGCAGACCGTTCCTGGTTTAATGGCAACAACGGGTTGGATGTTCTATCTTTTCTGCACTGCGACTGGCGTGAGACATGAAATGTCTTATTTGCAGCCTTTATCGGCATTGAAGACACTTTCTTCTCTTTTGAGGGTGCCGGGACACTCTTCTTGGATTTAATTGAATCCCATAAGGTTTTCTGAAAATCAAGAATTTGTAAGCACTCAACATTACACTAAAACACATAGGGTAAGCATACCTATTAAGCTCACGTACCCATTAAGCACACTACCATTTCTGAGCTCAGATTATAAAAAAAAAAAAAAAAAAAGTGTTATCGTACTTGATGTCTTAACCAATTGATGTGTTTGTTACTACATACCTCCTGTAATTTCAAAGTCAATAAGACCATTGCACGCTGAGATATGTGTATGTGTTCACACTGTCTGGCGGCCATTTTGAAAGCTGTCTGAAAACTTTCACCAGAAGAGTAGCTCCTTAAAGGCACAATATGTAATTTTTGCTGCTAGAGGGTGCGTATTCAAAATAAACA